ATGCGCTCGAAGATTTTGCGCTCGAAGATTTTGCCAGGCACAGAGGTGAGACTGACTGGTCTGTAAATTGCCTGGGTCATCCATTTTCCCCTTCTTGAAAATGGGGGTTATATTTCCCTTTTTCCAGTCGTTGGGAACTTCACAATGTATGATAGCAACTTCATTAAGTAATTACACAGCTTCTAACAACTGCAGAATTTCCGTTGCATGTTTGTCTTCCCTGGGTATTTAAAAGTCTTCGTTCTTTCCAAATTGCTCCATGTGCATGAACTACACCAAAGGCGTATTTGGAGTTAGTCCATATGTTTATCCATTTGTCCTTTGCCAACTCCAGAGCTCTAGTCTATTATTTCTGCCTTTGTGCTGAGGTGTTTGAGGCTAATGGGTTAGCTTCTGTAACCTTTGAAGTTGCAGTTATGTTGTATCCTGCTTGTTGTATACCATCCTTAACAAAGCTGTGAACCAGGAATCTGCACCCTCTAGAGGCTTCTCCTTCAGGTCTGGTTGGTTCAAGTATACTGTCTCCATAGTGGCCAAGCAATCATGAACTAACGGTTTGGTGGGAGTTTCCTGAAGGAAAGATGCTGGATTCACATTAGTGACCACAATTTCCACATCATCCAGTTCTACTAGGATAGCCTGATATTTCAAGAAATGCGATGGCAATACCCAATGAGTACTTTTTTTGTTCTAGGACTGCTGGTAACCATGTTAGTGTTACACGTGGTATCTTTAGTCCCTGTGTAAATTTTCAGGCCTCTTGGGTGTTAAACTGCTGCCACTGCTCTCAGCATCCAGGCCAGCCTTTGCTTGGTTCATCCAGTTGTTTTCAAAATAGGCCACTGCTCTTTTATAAGGTCACAATTTTTGAGCCAAAACCCCCAACCCTGTTTCTTGTAGGAATATAGCCAGAAGTGTTTGGTTATGTCCAGGAGACCCAGATCTGGAGCTCTCATGAGTTCTGTCTTTAAACTTTTAAACAATTCTTCAGCTTGGTCTGTCCATTTTTAGAAAGGTTGGATTCTCTTTTAGCAGCTCATATAAGAGTCTTACCAGAGCCCCATAATCATGGATCCAGAGTTGACACCACCCTATCGCTACAAAAAATGTCCTGATATCTTTAACCATGGATGGTTGTGGCGTTTGACAGATTGCTTCCTTCTGACCTGCTCCAAGTTCTGGTTGTTCTCCTGTTATTTCGTATCCTAAATAAGATAGTTGAGTTCGAATTAGCTGAGCTGTCAGTTTAGATACCTGGTATCCATTTAGCCCTAGGAAGTTTAACATTTCTACAGTCTGTTGAACACATTCTTTCTCAGTTTCAGTGGCAATTAACAGGTTGTCAACATACTGTAGTAAAGTGCCTGTCTGTGTGGGTGCTTCCCAGGATTTGGATTCTCATGCTAGTTACTTCCAAAAGTGGTCGGGCTCTTTTTCAATCCCTCATGTAACACCGTCCAAGTGAGCTGTGTCCGTTCTTCCTGTTTCAGGGTTTTCCCCATTCAAAAGTGGATAAATTCTGACTTCTTTTTTTGGCTGGGGCAGACAGAAAAATGCATCCTTTAAGTCCAGAACTGTAAACCACTTCCGATTATTATTCAGTTTAGTCAGTAAGGTATACAGATTATCTAGCTACTACTGGGTGAATATCCTCCACAATTTTTTTTATTGCTTTGAGATCTTGAACTAATATGTAACTTTTCCCATTGGGTTTCTTTACTGGCAAGATAGGAGTATTATATTCCAATTCACATTCAATTAATAATCTATATTTTAAAAATTTATCAGTGATTTCTTCTCCCTTTTGATCCTCCAATTTTAAGGGATATTGTTTTATTCTTTTTATTTCTACTTTAACAGGCAAAGCATTTTTCACCTTACCTGAAACTTCAGATGCCCATATTCCCAGATATACCTGATTAATTATTTCTTTTATTTCAGGGAGGTCCTTCTGTTCACTTTTCTGTTGAATTAAAGATGAACTCAAAACTGCAATTAATTGATCGTTTTTAACTCTTAGTTCCATTTTGCCTTTTTTAAATATTGCTTCTTGCCCTAATACAGATTTTGGATTATTTGGCATGCATAAAAATTTATGCATTCCTATTTGTTTTCCCAATTTGTACTTTAAAGGTTTCAGAAAGAATGATTTTTTTTTTTCCTCTTTTCCTTAGTGACCAGTAGCTCCCACATCTGTAACGAATTCTTTTCTCTCTGATTTAACACCAAATAAGTTCCTCCTGTATCCACTAAAAATTCCAGTTCATTTCCTCTAGTCCCTAGCTTTAATTTAACCAGTGGATCTGCTAGGGGAGATTCCCCATGTCCCCCCCCCCCCCAATCAGTCTAGTTCTGATTCAGTTACTGGAGCCACCTTGCGGGTATTTCTTTTAGGGCAGTCTCATTTCCAACATCCAGTTTCCTTACAGTATGCACACGGATCTGGTCCCATAGGAGAATTCACTCTTTCACCTCTGCCTCATCCTCTCACGTTAGTCTCTCCACCAGTTTCCAGTTGTCCCAATTCAGTCACTGCAGCTGTGGCTATAGCATGACTCAGCTTTTTCTTTTCTACCTGTTCCCAATTCCTATATGCTCTGTGTGCTTTTTCCTTTATTTCTGTTTGTATTTATCCAATAAGTTATTAATCTCCTTGGGCCTATAATCTGTCAATATGTCTGTTCTTACGTGTCTGTTTGCCCGAGTAATCATCTTACATTTAAACACAGGAGTTTTGTGAGCTTCTTCCCTTTCCCCTCACCCCCCAGTTGTCCATGTGCTCTGCAGTAGCTGTAGATGCCTGCCTCTGCAACAGCACTTCTGTTTTAACCCTTTCTTAACTCTGAATGTGAATCTGCTTCTTGTTGCCAGTGACAGCAGCCTCTTCCTCCTTATCAATATCAGATAAGACAGATGCAGAAGTACCTGTGATACATAATTCTCCAACCTGTCTTCCTGATTACTGTTTTTTTTAGCTTTAAACATCTTTCCCCAATATTACAGGCTGAACATCACGTCTCCAGCTTAGCTTCCTATTTTTCCCTGTCCTTTTCCAAAGCCAAAATTAAAGGAAGTGGTGAAACTGTATTAATTTTGCATTCTGTCTGTCACTCCATGTGATTTCTTAAAGTGAAAGACATCTGCATACACCACTTCATCCCACTCTCCTTGTTGCCCTAAGAACGCATCAATTGTAACAATGTATTATAGTTCAGAGTTCCATTTTCAGGCCATTTTTCCTGATCTTCCAAAGTATTTAAAGGCCATCATTGATTACATTATTTTTATCAATGTTTTCTTGTTTACTGAGCCCCCAGGAGACCCTCCCAGGTATTTCCAATGTGCCAAAATACACCCTAAATTAGGACTCTTTCAAAATTTCTCCACTCTGTTGATTTCCAGTTACTAATTTCACATTAACATACACTAGGGATCCCACAGACACACCCCACACACAGTACTTGAGACCAGAGACTGAATTCAATCAAACAAGCAACAGTTTGTAACACAGTTACAACATCGTGTTGCCAATACCACAGTTGTTACCATAACATGCCACAAAATAAGTCAAATACCAGTAAAATAAAAAACCGTTTCCACAGGACGCCCCCTGCATCTTGCAGGATCTAAACCACAAGACACCACCTGTGTCTTACAAGTATATACCAAATGGTCGCTAGCAGCCGGGTATTTGCCTTCACCTGCGATATTTCCTATCTTGATTTACAGAAGGCTTCCAAACCTTGTGTATGCTTACCAACCCAATTTAGTCTTTATGTAAGATGCTCCCTGCATCTTACAGACTATATAAAAGAAAATAGTATCTTTCATAAAGGTGGTTCTTGTCTGCTGCTGCAGTGATCCAAATGAGTCGAGGGGTCCCTCTGGGAAAAGCCCTGTCCCCAGCGGGTCCCATCTGGGGTGCCAGATTGATTTGGAGAAATTTCAAGGAACTTGCCAACAAAATTTAAGTTGACAAAGAGATATTCTTTATTGCAGCGCTGGGAGACATGGGGGGATAGCTCCTCCTAGCATGTCTCTGCTGAAATGCTAAGCAATCCATTCTACTATAGTCACTAAGCGTACATATTCATGTGGTAGTGGTCTTTGGGGGTCCAGCAGTATCCATCACTTGGCCATTCCTTGAACTTTCATCCTGGCAGCCTTTGAAGCATGCACAGTAGATAAATGCTTATGCCAGCTTAATTAGTTTAGTAACACCACTGACATAATTGAATGGTTTCTCCTTGTCCTTCAGTTACTTCAGCTACAACTCATCCTGAACATCTGCTAATTTCAGCTAATCTTTACACATTCTGTTTTGTTTACCATAAATTTTGTGCAAGGTTACAAGGTCCTAGAACTACAGCAACTACGGTCATTTATCTTATACAAGGATGACAGCTAAGCAGAACTAATTTAGTTATAATAGATTATATTTCAGCCTATATTTCTCTGTTTCAGTACAGTAGTGAAGAGGTGCAGTTTGACCCTTCCAGAGCTTCCTTCAACCCATTTTAAGTCTTGAAGAAGCAACTGCAGGTGTTATGAATAGAAAAATTGCTAGCAGCTTGTTTGGGATGGGAAATCTGGCTTCTGTGTTCAAAAATCTTTGTCCAAACATCTACCGAAAAGTTTTGAATCTTTGGCATTTCATGATTTTGTTAGGTATTGTTATGTGTGTATTTGGGGAGGGACAACTCAAGTGGATAGTGTAAGAATTTCAGCTGAAAATATTTAAAAAGTAGCATAGGGCAGTAATAAGTATACCATTTGTATAAAAAGCTGGTTGAGCTATACAAAGGTATTTTTGGAATTTAGTTGAAAAACTTAGGATCTTATTCTTCTATGGAATGTTTAGGAAGCTTGTGAAGGTGGTGTTTATGTACTCTTTTGTTGTCTTTGCTGCACAGAAGAGGACATGGAGTGACAACTGTTACTCTTTCTGTACAGATTAAAAATAATTTTGAAAGAATTTAATATTAAAAAGGTCTGCTTTTCATTCTTACACTCAGACTTTTATATGTATTGTTAAATCTAGAGAACATGAATGGTTTAAGCTGGACCTTCCAAAATACTTGTTTCCTGAAGACCCGTCATATAGCTCTACAATGATTGATGATGAAGCCTTAAAAGAAGTGTGTGAGAAGTTTGAATGCACTGAAGAGGAAGTGCTAAGTTGTCTGTACAGCAGAAATCATCAGGATCCTTTAGCAGTTGCTTATCACCTCATTATAGATAATAGAAGAATAATGAATGAGGCCAAAGACTTCTACTTGGCTACAAGCCCCCCAGATTCTTTTCTTGATGATCACCATCTGTCTCGCCCTCATCCTGAAAGAGTGCCATTTTTAGTAGCTGAAGCACCTCGTCCTCGCCATACTCTTGATGAGCTGAATCCACAGAAGTCAAAGCACCAAGGTGTAAGGAGGGCTAAGTGGCATTTGGGAATACGAAGTCAGAGTCGACCAAATGATATAATGGCTGAAGTTTGTCGAGCAATTAAACAACTGGACTATGAATGGAAGGTAAAAAAATAAAATATCTTTACAGCAGAAACCAGCAATTTTTTGTTTGAGCTGTGTAGCTTCATATTTTTAGGCTATGTAACTATGTTGTTATGACCTGGAAGTGGTTTGGGAGAGGCTATTCATGCTGACAGGAAAAAAACTTGCTATCTTGTCTACCTCTTCTACTGGGGTTGTAGGAATGGTTTGCTAAAAAAATAAAAAGAAAAAAATCACATACTACTGAATGAAAGAAAAAGAAAGGCAAACACCAAAACACAACCCCCCCCCCCCGAACCTCACACTTTAAAATCCCAGAAGCAAAAAGCAACACAACCAATGCAAAACAACCGACCAACCAACCTGTAAAACACCACCTCTCTCTCTTTTTCCGTTAACCTCCCCAAATCAGAACTCCAACAGGAAAGCCTACACTCATATAATCATAGAATAGTTAGGGTTGGAAAGTACCTTAAGATCATCAAGTTCCAACTACCCTGCCATGGGAAGGGACACCTCATACTAAATCATGTCACCCAAGGCTCTCTCCAGCCTGGCCTTGAACACCACCAGGGGTGGAGTATTTACAACTTCCGTGGGCAGCCCTTTCCAGTGCCTCACCACACTTACACTAAAGAACTTCCTCCTTATATCCAATTGAAACTTCCCCTGTTTTAAGTTTTAACCCATTGCCCCTTGTCCTGTCACTACAGTCTCTAATGAAGAGTCCCTCCCCAGCACCCCTATAAGGCCCCCTTCAGATACTGGAAGGCTGCTGTGAGGTCTCCATGCAGCCTTCTGCAGCCTGAATAGCCCCATTTTTCCCAGCCTATCCTCATATGGGAGGTGCTCCAGCCCCCTGATCATCCTTGTGGCCCTCCTCTGGACTTGTTCCAACAGTTCCATGCCATTTTGATGTTGAGGACACCGGAAATGCACACAGTACTCCAAGTGAGGTCTCATGAGAGCAGAGTAGAGGGGCAGGATCACCTCCTTCAACCTGCTGGTCACGCTCCTTTTGATGCAGCCCAGGGTATGGTTGGCTTTCTGGGCTGTGAGTACACACTGAAGTTAACTCATATTAAGTTTCTCATCGACCAACACCCCCAAGTCCTTCACGCAACCTGTAGCTGTGCCTAGGATTGCCCCAACCCAGGTGCAGGACCTTGCACTTGAGTTGGTTAAACTTCATGAGAGTGGCACTGGCCTACCACATAAGCGTGTAAGAGTCTCTCTGGATGGCATTTCTTCCCTCCAGCATATCAACTAAATCACTTGATAATACCATTGGTTTGAAATTATAAAAATACGCAGTGCTTTTCAAGCAGTTCTGGTTACTAATTCAGATCTCTTTTGTACTAGGTTGTAAATCCATACTATCTGCGTGTCCGACGGAAGAATCCAGTTACCAGTGCTTATTCCAAAATGAGTCTACAGTTGTATCAGGTGGACAGCAGGACATACTTACTGGACTTCCGTAGCATCGATGGTATGTGAAGTGTTACATAAATGTGGAGAATCGTACAGGAAACCATTCTAAATGCAAACTTGTCATATCTCTAAACAAGTAAATTAAGCGTTACTTTTTAGTTTAAGATAACCTAGATCTCTTGGTGGTGTTTCTTACTCCTTCCTGGTCTAGTGTTCCTATGAGCAGATGGTTAGCTGATTCATCCGTGAAATAATAGCTTTTTAGCTATATCAGTTCGTGCTCCATTTTGCATCTACTCCAGCACTAATACCACTAGTGCAAAAGGGGACTGGGCTATGAGGGGTGAGATCTGGATCAACCTAAACTCTCTTTGGAGCCTCACCCCCAAGTTTAAACATTTAGATGTAAGCATGTGAATAAACTAGTGAAGATAAAGCTTGGCATCTAGGCATTAAAATGTGATTTGGACTGTACACTGCTGTCCTGGGTCTGGCTGAGATAATTTTCTTTATAGCAGCCTATATGGTGCTATGTTTTGGATCTGTGACTAAAACAGTGTTGGCAACACATCAATGTTCTGGCAGTTGCTGAGGCCTAATTACATGGTATTCAGCCTTTCTTTCCGTCCTGTCAAACCAGGCCAGGAATAAGCAAGAAGCTGGGAGAGGATGCAGCCTGGAGGGCTAAGCCAGATTGTGCAAAGGGATATTCCATGCCATATAATGTTACGCTTGGCAAAGAAATTGAGGGATGGGGGCTTAGGGGATGTAACCTTGAGGTTGGCTGGACATAAGTCTGCTTTGGAGAGGTGGCAAGTGGTTGCTTTTGCATCACTACCCGTCCCTCCCCCTTTCCTCTTATTAAACTGTATTTATTTCTACTCATGAGTTTTCTCACTTTTGCTCTTAAAATGTTCTTGTCCATTGCTCAGAGATATTAGCTGCCAGGCAAAGTCAATCTGCCAGTGTTAGTGGTAGACAAAATTTTGATATAGGAGTTGTATCCTTGCAGTAACTTAAGCCTTGGAAGCAGTTCGTCTAGTCTATGGAAAGGTATATTTTACAGAGTGACAGTAATGGAGCATACAAATCCCAGTTGGATACCTTGCTGAAAATGAACAGAGAAGCTGATAGCGACTGGCCACTGTGCTTGTTTATTGGCATACTAGACAGAAGCGGAATTGCCTGCAGCCAGTGCTGTAGATGACATGCCTAGGAAAACAAGTGATATGGAAAAATGATTTACTGGCGTGTGGCTGGATTACATTATAGGGTGGCTAAAGCCATATCTTGTGACAGTTCAGTCTCATCTGACTTGGTGGTAGAGTTCTTGCCGTTCCTTCTGACAATACAGGTGCTCGCTTAGATCCAGTGGTACTTGATAGAGAGGACTAATCATTTTCCTGTATTGAGCTACTGCAGTATAGGACAAATGTCATATCTTTGAGAGGGAGGTGGCTGCTTAGAGCCACACAGCTGGAGGAGGGCAGCCTGCTGCAGTCCTGCCCTCAACTCTTGAGGAAATACAACTCATGTTGCACAAGCAGTATATTGATTGAGACTTTAAAAACTCCAAGATTCTGAAGTGTGAGAAGGGGCAGATATTTGCTGTCCCTTTAACTAATCTGGTAACTGATACCTAATTTTCCTCCTCTCTCTTCTGGCCCCCCAGATGAAATTACTGAAACGAAGTCTGGGACTGCAACTCCACAGAGATCAGGTTCTGTGAGCAACTATAGATCCTGTCAAAAAGATTCAGATGCTGATGCACAAGGAAAATCTGCAGATACATCCCTTACCTCATCAGTGAACTCATCGCTTGACTCTTCTACAGCTGACTTAACTCCAAGGCCAGGGAGTCATACAATAGAGTTTTTTGAGATGTGTGCAAATCTTATTAAAATACTTGCGCAGTAATTTTGAAGATGGGCTTATTTCTCTCACAGCAATAAGCATGCCTAAATCATAGCCAGATGCTTCCAGTTATAATCAAGTTAAATTTACTAAGGCGCTGAAAAAGCTAGCCACAGAATGCAATTTGTACAGGAATTGAAATGATTATGGGCAGTTCACATGTACTTGAAGCTGGAGTGAATTCTGATTGTCTACTGTCCAGTAGCAGAGGTGCAGGAAATCACATGCCCTTGAGGCAGCATTCGTAACATTTATGTTGAGTGCACGTTAGGCTGCATATGACATTTAAGTTAGATGGACTTTGTTTTTTTTTCTTTTTTTCACTGGTAATACATACACCTGATGCACTGTAAGTAAAGGTACACTTACTAGTTCAGTGACCTGAGTATGACTTGTTGGTCACTTGTGCAGTTGTAACTCAATTGGTCAGAACTGTCAACATCTAAGAGTAATGTGTTAAAACTGATGTCTTTCTTTCCCCCCCTTACTTGACAGTAAATGATGAAGAACTGTTTAATGCATTAAAGTGTACTACTTTTAGCAACGGGTAGATTTGATTAGATGCATGCAGGTCTTACCAGCTGGAAACATATGTAGGTGCTCTGTAATGCACTAAGGAAGAAATTCCATGGGCTGTGAGTAGAACAGAAAACTACATATAGTTTGCAAAAGCTGTTTATGTATATCCAGAGATGTTTATGCCATCCAGAGGGACCTTGACACGCTTGTGAGGTGGGCTGATGCCAACCTCATTAAGTTTAACCATGCCGAGTGCAAGGTCCTACATCTGGGTTGGAGCAATCCCAGACACAGCTACAGGTTGGGAAGAGAAGAGATTCAGAGCAGCCCTGCGGAGAAGGACTTGGGGGTGTTGGTCGATGAGAAAATGAACATGAGCCAGCAGTGTGCGCTTGCAGCCCAGAAAGCCAACCATATCCTGGGCTGCATCAAAAGAAGCGTGACCAGCAGGTTGAAGGAGGTGATCCTGCCCCTTTATTCTGCTCTCGTGAGACCTCACTTGGAGTATTGTGTGTATTTCCGGTGTCCTCAACATCAAAACGGCATGGAACTGTTGGAACAAGTCCAGAGGAGGGCCACAAGGATGATCAGGGGGCTGGAGCACCTCCCATATGAGGATAGGCTGAGAAAAATGGGGCTATTCAGCCTGCAGGCTGCATGGAGACCCTGTATCAGCCTTCCAGTATCTGAAGGGGGCCTTATAGGGGTGCTGGGGAGGGACTCTTCATTAGGGACTGTAGTGATAGGACAAGGGGTAATGGGTTAAAACTTAAAACAGGGGCAGTTTCGATTGGTTATAAGGAGGAAATTCTTTAGTGTAAGTGTGGTGAGGCACTGGAATGGGTTGCCCAGGGAAGTTGTGAATTCCCTGGTGGTGTTCAAGGCCGGGTTGGACAGAGCCTGGGTGACATGGTTTATAGTGAGGTGTCCCTGCCCATGGCAGGGTGGTTGGGACTAGATGATCTTAACATCCTTTCCAACCCGAACTATTCTATGGTTCTATATTTCTGTTCTATATGCAATGATTTAAAAAAAAAATGAGATTTAGAAGCTATACTGAGTCCACAACAGTGGTGAGAGACTTAATGCTGAGAAACTCGATGACTATAAAGATAGACTTGATAGCCTAAAACACAGTGTTGCCCTGTGAAGGGGGATGGTCTGATCTGTGTGTATACCTTAGTGTAGCAGCAGCACAACGGCTCCTGACTGCTACTGCAGGCTCATAATCCTGGTCCTTAGAAACACGTGCATGTAGTAAAGAGCACAGCCTATGAGTTCTGTGCTAGTCCAGAATCTGAAATTGACATTTAACAAAAAATATGTTAGCACTTTGATACAGCTCTATGTCACGTGTTAACTTAGCATATACTATTTGAAATTCACTTTGCAGTTGAAACTACATATATAGGTTAGGTTTTCCTAGGCCACATTTATATCAAACTTTGCTGTTTAAATTAATTAATATTCTAACTTTTCTGTTGAATATCGAAAACTGATCATGACAACTTGAGCACTAATATTTAAGAAGTTTTCAGTAGTAGGTTGCAATTACCTGTAACACCCTTTTGCATTTATGGTTTTTGCAACATTTCAGGGAGAAAAAATGAACCTTATGTTAAAATCACAGCTAGTACTTGCACAAAACTATGTAGTCTCTTGTAAATTGGATGTAATTAGCCATAGTTCTATTTTCATCTGGCACTATCAGGCATAAACAATAAACTCTATGCTATAAAATGTTTAGTTTTGCATTCAGTGTTCTCTTCAAAACAAGCTTCATATCCACTCTCCCAGGGAGAGACTGGAAATCAAGGCATTATTGTGAACAGTGAAACCTGGACTCTTAAAATGCAATGGGGATCCTTGCCAGTGACTTGGGACTTTATCCATGGAAAACTACTAGCTACAGATATTAAGAACAGTTCAATCCAAGCCCACTGGCTTCAGTCCAGAAGTTCATCTGTTATGAATATGCACAAAATCTGAAGAAACATAAAGCTGCTTCAAGCCCTGGAACTGCGGTGTCTGCGTTCTGGGCAATTGCGTGATCTGCCTAGTATGTAGGTGCAAGTTAAAATTTCAGTTCTTTATCCTTAAGTGTCACACGTGGTCCCTGTGATGCAAGGTTGTATTGTTGTACCTCAAAGAGAAAGGTTTTTCCTTAGATAAAACTTTGGGTTTAAATCCCCAAGATCAAGATGCCACCAAGAGGGACCAGCTGCAAATCCTACTTCAGTCACAGTTTTAATCTTTTAGAAATTGATTCTGATGTACTTAATAAATCACTGTGTTAATTTTTGTTACCCTTTCATTTTGAAGTTGTTACATATTGCACTTGTACAACTACAACAAACGCACAGGTTTTTTAATTGTAGTAATTCCTCATCTGGAATTGGTTTGGGATCACTCTTGCGTATGTTTAAACTAAGTATATTTATACATGGTGTCTGACCCGTGTGATGCTGATCACGAATGCAAGGTGTCAAGGTGCAGAAAGCTTTGATACACTTTTTTGGCCCTCTTGTGCATTCAGGCAACCACAGGTTTTCCTTTGTCTTGTTATCTGGAGGTCTAAGGAATTTTCTGGCAGCAGCATACTGTATCTGTAGTTTTAAATAGAGTAAGTTTATTGGTATGATAGATCAGTTTTGATGGTCAGAAGTTTTCTGATTGAACTGAAATTTTTATAGGGGAGAGGGGGGGATTGACAACTTTGTTAAATCCAGAACAGATGTCTGTTGTGTGACTTTCCCATGCTTTGTAGATCTTGCTGTTGAAACTGCTTTCTTCACATGTTCCTACTGATACTGCAGACCTTTTTTTAGTGTTGTGCTATCTGCGAACAGGCTGTGAAGCAAAACTTCTTTAAGAAAGCTGCCAGGGTTGTAAGGAGGCAGCTTATGCAAATACACAAATTGGTCAAGTATGTTACTTTGTGTTCCCAAGCTTACTCCTGTTGAAGTACCTTGAATTATCTTGCCTTTGTATTGTAATTTTTTCAAAAGCATGGATGAGCGTGACTGTCCATGTGCAATATAACTCACTAGATAAGGGATAAAAATTCATCTTGCTGGTGCAATACTGAAAAAAGGAAAAAACTTTCATGTTTGTCTTGCTATGAGTGTTTAATACCAACTTGGAAATAAATTTTATTTTACCAGTTGATTACCATTGTAAGATATGAAGTCCTGTTCTTTAAGAAACATGTGCCTACTTCCTATGTTCATTTCTTTTGACAAAGATGAATGGCAAAAATGCTTGTTTATACCTGTATAACTTTTTAAACCTTCAAAACTTAAAACTAAGTAAACATGAAGTACTAAATCGTTGTTTGTGTCTGAAACTTTGTGCATGCTCTCCTCTAGTTTACAAATTAACATGAGGACTGTTAGACATGTTTTTGAAACAACAGCACTTACTGACTTCAGCAGCAACGTGACAGAAGTTGCTGCAGCATTAATTCCCAGCAGGGTGCCAGCCTGGAACCCTGACTGCGTCTTTTCCCCTCGGTCTTGTCAGCCCTTCTCTTTGCTGCTGAAAGCAGTTTGAGATGGAAGGGTTGCTGAATGCTTGTGCAAAGGTTCCCCTTGCTCCTGCCCCGTGGTGACCCACTTTGCCTGCAGAGAATCACAGACTGCTTTGGGTTGGAAGGGACCTTAAAGCTCATCCAGTTCCAACCCTGTCATGGGCAGGTACACCTTCCACTAGACGAAGTTCCTCTAAGCCCCGTCCAACCAGGCCTTGAACACTGCCAGGGATGAGGCAGCCATAGCTTCTCTGGGCAACCTCTGCCAGTGCCTCAACACATTTCCAGTAAAGAACTTCCTAATGCCAAATCTACATCTACCCTCTTTCAGCTTAAAGCAGTTATCCTCCACCCTGTTATAAAAATTCCATCTTGGCCATGATCTGATTCAATTAATTTTTTATTACAATTGATTAATATCGAGAGCCAATAAGCAAGCAGCGCTGGGTGCGCCGGGGAGTCTCCGCTCCACCCAAGACGCACACCGAGATTTCTGGGGTACAGTCTCTTATACTCCTCGGTCTTAGGTTTCAACCAATCCTGTCATCTTCGCCCGAATATCCACGTGGTTCCTTTTCATTGTTCTCCTCCTGTTGCTGGGGTCTTATCTTCGGGTGAAGAAACTTCTTAAAAAGTTACTGGCAATACATTAACAGGGGATGTCTGTCACAAGCTTAACCACCATCTTAGCCCCCCTAAATTCCATTGCTTACATAGTTACTTATTCAATACACAAGTTTCACCTCATCCTGTAACAGAAGGTATCTCTTGATTACCTAACCCCCTCAAGGCATTCAAGCAGTTAAACAAAGTACCCTTGTAATTAGCAAAGCGTTTAAAGTACCCTTTAAAGTAACAAAGTGTTTGATTAGGAAAGATTATTCCTTTGCTTCTTCTTTCACCATTGTATTGACAGGGACATCTATCTTAATCTGATCATTCGTATACATTCTACACATGCT